ATATTTCTACAGAGAGAAGAGAGGGAAGAATTAAACCCACCTGAATACCCTCAGGACAGGAGAGAAGAGAGATCCACCCACGTAGGAGAGCCAACGCTGTGTCTACTGTTACCCAACAGATGTCAAAAACCACGTCCCACAGGTGTGAGCAGCAGGACAGCCTGGAGAGGCATGAACTGGAAAGCAACCAGGCACATTGCATATTTCTACAGAGAGAAGAGAGGGAAGAATTAAACCCACCTGAATACCCTCAGGACAGGAGAGAAGAGAGATCCACCCACGTAGGAGAGCCAACGCTGTGTCTACTGTTACCCAACAGATGTCAAAAACCACGTCCCACAGGTGTGAGCAGCAGGACAGCCTGGAGAGGCATGAACTGGAAAGCAACCAGGCACATTGCTCCAGGAAAGTGAGGTTTGGGAGCTGTTTTTCAGAGACATGGCCATATGTCTCTGCATCCCAAAGCAAGAAACCTACCAAAGGCCAAGAGGAAACTGTAAGAGATGTAGATGGCTCCACATTTTGCTCCTCACCTTTTGGAGCTAAGACCTCTCCTGCCTTTTGTTGGTCAACTTTGCCCACCGCTCCTCAAGCATCTCTCCACCATCCTGTCCTACCTTTCAGAAGAAAGCTGACTACAGTATCTGCCCCTGTCCTCTCCTCTTGCAAAGGAAACCACTGGGGACTTTATAAAGGGATCCTACTCCCTGGGATGTTGTAGAGCCCCACCAGCTTCAGCCACTCCAAAAGACAACCCAGGGCATTACCTGCAAGAGAAATCCTATCAGGGATGTGCATCCGAAAGGAAGGAGGGACATCTTCTGTCACTGGCTCCTCATCCACAGGGCTGAAGCTATCTGCTACCTTCAGCCTGTTGGGAACCTGCATCCTTTGATTGATGGCTTCTGTGAAGAGCAGGTCACAGCGGACATGGTTCAAGTCCAGTCCCCAAAATGGCCACATCCTTTTTGATTTCCTCAGATTGCTTCAGCACCCTGGGGTTCCACACAGCTGAGAAAAAGTGGTAGCAAACAGCTCTTCCAAACTGGCACCTGCACAGGGACAACACAGATGCTATAACACAGGCAGAAACAATCCAAAAGACAGACACCATTGGAGTTGTCCCATAGAACTGGGTGTCCCACAAAGCCCAGCTGACAGGGACAAGCACATGGGGCTGCTGCAGGGTGAGAAAGGAGAAAATTCCTACATGCCCTGGGAGCAAAGCATGAGCTTAGCACCTATCACCTCAATTGATAGCAAGGAAAGGGCCATAGTTCAGCACTCCTGTGGGAGGAGAGCAGTCCAGTGTACCCTAAAAACTAGTGAAAAAAGAATTATTTTCCATCCAGAAGTAAAGTTTTTTGGAGGGTTGGGAGTACATTTCTGTGTTCATACACCTTCAAGGAAAAATGAGGTTTTCTAAAAACAAAACACATTTTGGTGGTAAGATTTCAGGTTACCACAGAAAAACTGAGCACTAAAGTCCATCTCCGGACACACTTTCACTGCAGTATTCCCCAGGGCCACATCCCATTCCCCAGGGCCACATCCCATTCCCCAGGGCCAGCATCCTTCCAGAGCATCATCATCTCCCCCATGCCAGCACTGGCTCAGCTCTCTCCTAGGAGGGGACTGGCACTGAGGAGGGACACTGTCCCCAGCTCTCACAGCCGACAGCAGGAGCAGGACATGAGACATGGACACTATCTGAGGCTTTGCAGCTGCGCAGGACACACAACTGCCCTGTGCCTCAGTTTCCCCTTTGCCAAGTCCCAGGACTTTGAGAAGTGCTCTGGGACCACAATGTCCCAACACTTTCACTGAGTGGTGCAAGCAGAGGGCAACTAATGTACATTTTTGGGAGAGGAGCCCCAGAAATCACCATCCCAGCTTCCAGCATATGTGCTCTTTCTTCTTTCTCAAAGAGCTGCACTGAGGAGAAAACCCCACCAAACAAGGGCTGCTGAGGCTGGCAGACCCCAGTCAGACCCCAGTGTCCCACATGCATGCACAGCCCCCCCCGCACCCTCCCTCAGAGCTCGCCATGCCCAAAAAGGTCCTTCTTTGCTTCCAGATCAAAATCTCCACCATAAGAGGTGCCGCCTGCTCCAGCACAGCCCCAACAGCTGACAGAAGGAGAGATTTCCTCTCCAAAGCTCAACTGAGGAGTTGGGAGGAAGCGAGCGAGCAGGAGCGTGCAGGGGCCCTGCCTTCTTTGATCACGTCCGGGCACTATATTTAGCAGCCGGGTCTCTGACGCTGCGTTTCCAGCCCACCAAGCGGCTCCCATCAGCCAGGGCTGCCCATCACCACCCTCGCTGCTCCTTCTCGGGGTGCTTTGGACATCCTGGCCTGTCCCAGCCCCCTGCCACCCGCTGGGATATCACCCAGGGGAGAGGAGCAGGGGGAAACCTCTGATGAGCTTCACTGCCTCCCAAAGCCCGAAGGACGGTGGGAGATGTGGCCCCCGAGCCATCGATCCCATCCCCTGCAGCAGCCCGGCCCTGTAACTCCAGGTACACAAGGGCAGCAAAACCGGCTCCACATCTGCAATAACCAGCACTTCCAGTGATCACCCACCTCACGCTGCTCTCTCCTCCTCTGTCATTAAAAGTCTTCTAATTAAAGAGACAGAAATTTGCCCAGTATCAGCTGCAGGGATTTCCTGCTTCCAGCCACCCGGAGATGAGATCCTCATCTCTGCAACTGGGTCTGTCCCATAGGTGCTGCCAGAGACGTGGTGTGTGGGGGACACAGCAGCCCCAAGCTGTCCCACACCTTCTCACCACCCTGCCCAGACTCAACACTAGCATGGGTGACACCAACCCATGGGTGTCACAACACACACACCCTGCTTCTCCTCAAATCCTCTTTTGCAGGAACCACCCCACTCAGGAGTGGCACAGTAAGTCCTGGGACAGTCCCATAAGTCCTGGGACAATCCCCTAGGAGAAACCTGCATCAGACACCCAGCCTCATGATCCACAGCCATGGAGACTACCAGGTTTCTCCTCTACATTTTTGGTGCTTTAGAGGAGCAAACACCCTGTGTTGCTTTCCCAGCCTGCTCTCTGGGAAAGCAGCACATACTAATAACAATAAATCTGGAGAGGGCAGAGCAGTTCATTTTCTAATCACCTATGAAACTGCTGCAGCTCCCAAAGAGCAGAGGGATGGGAGGGGAGTGAGTAGCAGGCTCTCAGAGACTAAGCAATGAAGAAAAGAAAAAGAAAAAAAAAAAAATCAGCTGTCAAAACCCATAAAAACAAAATGCTTAAGTGTCTGGATTTCCTCCTTTAACTTTCTTCAGGGCTTTTTCTAGCTATTGCCAAGCAAACCCCCCCACGCCAGCAGAAGACACTGCTTCTCAGCCTCTGCTTTGGCACTTCTGGCGTTTGCAGCGACAGGGAATTTCCAGCACACTAAGCCTGTGAGTAGGTTTAAGTCCTGCCAGCTGGGAAAACCTGCCCTGGAGAGGGAAACCCCACAACCTCCCTCTCTGTGCCCCTCCCCAGCCCAGGATGCTCCACCCGAGGCAGGTGGGGGTACCAGCCCTATCCACTGCCCCGGTCACCTCTCAGGATGGGGTGCTGGGGTGAGCACCCGCTGCTAGAGGAGCTGACCTCGCTCACAGCTCTGCTCTTCAGCTCGGGGCTGTAACGTGTGGCAGAAGAGAGGGGCTAACGGGAGGGGAAGGGCTCTTGCCACCCGGCTCAAGCCCTGCTGCCTGCCACAGCTGACCCACAGTGCCTAGCTGGCTATAAAGAGCCGGGGTGTCCCCTCTGTCCCCCACGTCATGGAATCACAGACTGGGTTGGGTTGGAAGGGAC